AATATAGATTAATTTAAATGTATACATGGGAGAAATATGGAGAAGGACACTGAAAAGAATTAAATAAATGGAATGGAATGCCTCAGAAAAGAAACAAAGAAATATGAAGATACTGAGAACAAAACACAAGAAAAAACCCCCAATATTTTATGGTGTAAGATGAGGATGAATTTACTTTCTTTTACATTACTGTACTTTGGTAGTGGATATTTTCTGTAACGGGGTTTGGTCTCTTAGCTGGAATTTCAGTATCTTCCATTGTAGGTCTGTGACCTGACTACTAAGGATTAAAATCAGTATCACTTTTCCATTCTTGATTAATGTTTAACTCAGTGAATTAAATAGTTCTTTCAATATTTAATTATTTTACGGGGGAGAGAACAGTGTCAACAGCAAAGACAAATTCCCTTAGGAATAACCAGGGGGATGTTGATAAGAACTTTGTGGGCATATTTTAGGAATCCAGTAGAGAAACCAGGTGGGACTCAGTTTTCCATGCCTCCTAACACTGTTCTAACTGCCCAACTACCTGTGATAAGAAGAATGGTGCACTTTGAATGACTGCTCAAGCACCAGCAGAACAAGAAGATTCATTTTTACAATTCTTGGACAGAGACTGATGCTTCCCTGTTACCTGGATTTAGGTACTTTTATCCTTTTGGGTTTGAGGCTTTATCAGTATCTCTCTCTTTATAATTTCCTATAGTATGTATTCAGAATACTGGCTTCTATGACTTCTGTTATGTGTTTAAATTTGCAGTTGTAGATTTTGCATTAGTTGCTAAACTTCTCTTGTGAAATGGAACTTTTGATCATTGATGTGATGAAATACAAATGGGTGTGTGCTTTATCCCAAAAGAAAGTCTGCTTGCATTTCACTTGCAGTAGTGAAGTAAAATGCCCATCCTTGACTGGAATTTCCAACAGTCCTTAAAATCATGTCCCACCTTGGAACGTCAGTTTGCTGACCCAAAAGGAATTGTCTTATGAACAGTAATAATACACCACTATCTAATGTCCTGGGTCACCATTGTTAACTTACCTGTTTGACAAGAATTTGTTCAGAAGTTTTTTCTTTTCATAATGAAAATCAGTCAAAAATTTTTAATCATGAGTATTTAATTAAATGCTTTGATAAGGGCATGTTGGAGATCGATGGTGGTGTAATACAGGTATTTATGTGCTAATAATTAAAAAAAAAGATGTAGTATTTAGATAAAGAAACCAGTAGACATTAGACTTTCTGTACATCTAAAAAAACCCCACTTTTATCCCCAAACTCCAAGTGACTCAGCTCTACAATTTTCTTCTGTGTTTCCATCAAACTATACTTAGATACTATCCAGTAGATTAGAATGGAATTGAATCCAGAATTGTTCTTGATAGTATCTTTTATCACAGAAAAATCTTTGTCTTATAAACTGTAATGTACAGCTTTAATAAGTTTGTATAACCATACCTTGTTTAAACTACAACATCCTGTGAAATCTTTTCTATACGCCTATAATAAGAAGTGATGCATGTAAGTAATGCTTGAGAGAACATATTTATACATATTGTCAGCTTTTTTGTATAATAGATTTCTGAAATCTAGAATCAATTCAAGAATGTTTAATCTTAAGTTTGAAATAGAAATATTTTATATACATTTGAAAACCCTCATGTTTGGGAGCTTTCTTGAAAACTTTTCTTCCTAAAAACTTGTATCTGGTTGACTTTTATTAAGATTCACTTTGGCTGCCGAGAGAGGTATCTGTATGGACCTCAGTGTAGCTTGTCTTAATGGATCCAATGATGCTTTCTCAGGCTTGTCTTTTCATTTTGATATAGGCTGTCAACCATGTCAGGTAGTTGTTCAGACTATCTAGTAGTCATTTTGCTCTTTCTCTGCAATATCTTTAAAGTACTAGGTCTTCATTTCCATTAAATCCTCAATAAAATTGGTGGAAATGAAATGTATTATTATTAAGCCATAAATAGCAAGAGCATGTACATACATATTTTTGCAAGTATAAATACACCAAATACCATAATAAAGATCACTGTAAAAATTATTTAAATGAGGCCCTTATAGAATAGGAAATTCTAGAAACAGAAATGCTTGGGCAGTGTTTGGCTTACCTGGTGCTTATTAAGTCTGCAATTAGGGGTGTTCCAAAAAAAAAAAAGAGAAGCCTGTGCATATAGGACATCTCTTTCTTCTAATATTGGTATTGGAGAGTGTAGAGTGAGAGCTCTAAATAACAGAAAAGGAGATCTCGAGTCAAATATCAAGTAGGTAGAAAATTTATCACTGTCTTTCCAACATTCTTATGTGAAGCTTTTAATTCGGGAATGCTGTGGGCATAATTTCCTGAACCTTAGAAATTACACTGAATCACTGCTCTTCCCAGCAGGAATTTTTTAGTATAAGAAGCAGTGACACATTTGAAGATCCATAACAGCACTGAAATAAGGTAAATAGTACCTGTGCCATTTTGCTCTCAAACAATACCAGTGTACAGAAAATAAATTTTATGTGCAGTTCTACAGAGTTCTTTTGATCGTCGGTTTCATTCTGATTCTCAAAGGATGAGTACTTCAGTGGGCAGAGCCTACTTTGCTTATGCTCCTTCATTCCATTCCCTTCAGCCCCTTCTTGTTAGGTCTCCTTACTTCCTTGATTCTTCTCAGATAAATGACGAAATTTTGGAAAAAGTGGAAGTACCTAAAAAGATGTGTTAGTAGGAAGTCCACATTATAGGGTCAACACACTACTCTAGGCCACACAATAAATACAGGAAACAATTGTTTATTGGCTAAAGGGTCTCTTGGAGTGGGTTAGAAGGGTCAGGAAAGAAAGGAAATTCGGTTTTATTCTGTTCCATTCATTTTTTTGAAAAGAAAAATGGTATTTTAAATTAACAGCACATTCAATTTTGATGAAAATTCCGGATGTATGAAAAAATATGTATTTGCACAAATCTCATTTCATTATAGTTGAATTTTCTGCTAGCAGCAACTGTGAAATTTGCCTTTAAAAGTATTCTCTTACTTCCCTATGAAACATTTTACGTGCATGAGTGTCTGCAGAGTACTCTTTATTTTTTACTCCAAAATAAAATTAAAAAATTAGAAGTTTTAAATATGTGTCTTTTGTCAGTAGTTTTAGGACAATCTTAAAAAAAAAATAAGAAAGAGAAGGAAGAGTGTATGCCCTAACTTCCATTTTAAACATCTGAGAATGAAGACATAGAAAGATTAATGCCAGATGTTCAGAACTTGGTTGCAACTACAGGAACATTTTGACTGTGATGCCCATTTATAAGGCACACAACAAAAGGGTAATATATTAAAATATATGATAAAATACTGGTTTTGTACCTACTCCATGGCCAACGTTGCCTCTGAACTGTTCAGTGGTGCATATTACACTGATTGGAATAACGTGAACTTCTGTGACAGGACAACTCTGTTTCTTAGAGCAGCTGAGAAAATTTGGGTTTTTTTGATGGAATGAATGTAAAGGCAAATTTTCTTGCATCCCAAACATGAATTCTCTGTAATATAGGTAAGGTGGTTACCAAGTATTACTTTTTCATTTTATTATAGCAAGATAGCCACAAATATCCATCAATTCCTACTTCAGGTCTCAAAAGTTGCCAGCTTTGACAGACATAGGACCTATTACTTTTATTGCAAACTGTAATACATTGCTCAAATACAAATGTTTCCATAATGCACGGTATGATATGAACAGAAAAACAGGTATTAAAAACTATTTTGGGTAGTACTTTTTAGGGTTTCACATGAGTTTTATGAACAGATTGATTAACAGATATTTTAACAATTTAAAAAAAATATTTAACATGGGTGGTAGTGGGGAGTTGCATATATATATATATATGTTTATGTGTATGTGTATGTGTATATATATATACATTTTTTTTTTTCCCCAGGGGTCAGGAGATGAATTTGTTCCCATTTCTTTTTTCTTTTAAAATCTGTGTTATAGCTGCCATCCTTCTGGCTAGAGAAGCTTGGATGGCTTCTTCCTTCTGAGCACATCAACACACTTGAATTAGCTGGAAAGATGCTTATTCCCACATCATCTGAGATTCAAATTGCTTTCAGTGGATGAGCTTTAGTAATGGACCTCATTTTATGTTGGTTTATTTGGAGATTTTGTAATTAGTGCTAAGATGTTAAAAGCTGTGGATAGAAAATGAGTTATTATAAAGAAAATATTTTTAATTGTTATTTTTAAATTTGACAGTGATATTTTCTGTACTGTTACGTAATGTCATCGTCTGGCACAAGCATTGAAAGAAAAGATAAAATGTTTTTTAGTCGGGGATACTTTTCAGTTCATTTCATGGTATTCACAGTGCATACTGTGTTGCAAAATCTCACTCTGTTCTGTTAGATGAGTGATTCTTCTTCTTTCTCTTTGATATCCGATACTTAAGTGTACCAGTACACAGGCTCCTAAAATAGTGGCTTTTCCTGGAAGTAGATGGGTTCAGAGAACCCTAAGAAGTGATTGATTTTTTTATCAGTTCTATCACGGCTGATTCAGTGCAATAAACTTTTAAAAGATACTGAAGACGTTTCATTTTGAAATGCAGTGCTTATATATAACACAGTCATTCCTTTTAGTAATTGTTCAAGTTTGCATGGTAAATCATTGCCTTGATGCTGCATGTACAGCCCCTGACAGATTGGTTACATACAGAATGTATGCTGTTTGCTTCAGTCATGAATTGATACTACATTTAAATATTTGCACTAAAAACCTGTTATCTCAGATACAGTCTAGCTTTTCAGATATGAGACAAAAGATCTATTGTTACAGTCTCGGTGCTACTTGTTTATTATGTACAGAATTCTTTTTTAGAGTGGTCTTTCTGTCCTTTAGAATTGCCTTTACATCAAAAAAAAAAACCAAACGGAATTCTACATACATGGTCACGGATATTAGTCATTTTTACAGGGGAGGGAAGGAGGAGGGGAGGATGCAGAAATCCTCCTCCTCTTAGACAGTAGTAACAGCGTGAGGATGCCTTGTCCTCCTTTTTTTTACTTCTGAGATTTTATTGCTGGCAGCCAGATGTGCTGAAACTCCTGACGACAGCATCTATTCACTGCGTGTTTTTAATAGGCTTAGAGAAATATGAGTAGAGTACATGAACGCAGCTCAGCTTCACACTTCAGCTGGGAATGCCCAAAAAGCTTACTGCTGTTTAGAATTCTTGCTACAGTCAGGAGAAAGCCGCTCGGGTACTAAATCTTCTACGACTGAATTAGAAGAATAATGACTGTACAATTAACTATCAGCCTCTACTCATTTAGGCACAGTTTTTACAGAGGCCAGGAGAAATATGGAACTTGATTGGCATATTTGTATTTGATGGTGTGTACAAAATAGACGACTTTTAAGACAGGTGGTGAAGAAAAATAGAAGGGAAAGAGAGAAAATGCAATTTGAAACACTGCGCCAGGTCTGCAATTCTGTTTTATCTCATTTTCATGGGGTTTTCTCATCCCCTCCAAATATTTTACAAAATGATCTTTTTGGACAAACGTTGAACAACACTAGGTAAGTAGAAATGAAATATTTTTGCTTCATCATTTCTATTTTTATGCTGATGGCAATCTATCTGCATGCTTTTCAGTGGGGTACTTTTATAATTGCACTCCTAGATATTAATATTTTTATGGTAGCAGTGAGTCTGTTAGTGTTTTTATGTTTTATGTAAGGATTTACATGAGAACTCAGTCTGCAGAAATAAAGCCAGCAAAGACAGAATAAAATATTTAAGATGGTTATGTATCTTTCAAGTACATTAGCTGCCATTAGAAGCTAGCATTATTAGCTGTAATCCTTAAAGCATATTAAATATTCATAAACAAATTTGTCAGAGAAAATGATTTCTATGTGGATATGGCAGTGAAAAGATTAAATGCTCAGAGATGTGTCTGTTTAACCATGCATAATTTATTGGAAGATGCAAATTAGCAGTCCTGCATACCTTTTGCAAGATGAAAAGCAGTTCCTTATTTTCAGAATTTTTATATCCTGTGTGTGATGCTTTTCAATAATGTTTTTAACTCACCAGATTACAGCTGATTAGTGGATGCTTTGCAGCATGAATAGCTGTTGTTTTGGGGATTAGAAATGATAGGGTGAACTTGTTGTTTATCGGTGTGAGACAGTTTTGAACTGGTTTCTTAGGATTTTTGGAGGGGTAAAATGAATTAATAATGCCGTGTTTATGTTTCATTATTCAGTAAACATATTATAGTACCAAAGTTTAGAACTTTTTCATATGGCTATTAAATATTAAATATAAAAATATTAATAATTTTATCAAAGAGTATGGAAGTGCAGGTCAGGAAGAAAAAGAATCCTGTAGTTTTTTATAAAGATAGTGCACTGATGGAAACATTCTGGAAAAAGGGTGGAAGTAATAGGCAGAGACTATATCCAGTGTTTTAATTTTCTTCTCTGTCTCTGTGGGAGAAATCTCTTTTTAAATGGGATATTATTTCTTAAATACAGGGATATTTGCAATTTATACTTCAGAAAATTGTTATAATTTTATTTCCCAGAATTTTGTTGTAAAGACCCTCTCCCTCACTGCTGTTATTTCCCTTTAAAATATATTAATATTTATTTAGTGTTACTGTTTTCAAGTTTTGTTACCTTGGTTATGAATTTCCGGTTAAGTATATAAAATTATGTAGGTAGTTTTAGCAATCATAATCACTGTCATGAAATAAGGTATTTTTAGATATATATTAAATCTTTATTCAATGAGATTTTTCTTATATCCCTTTGGTGTACTGTGGAATATTTGAAGCTCTACAAAATGGAGCAATAATTTACGAATTATCAGCTGTGATTGTAAAACTATGCATATTTCCAAGTGCATGGTTTCAGGCCTGCAGCAACCAGCAAAGCCCTTAGCAACTGTTCTAATCAGCTCCCATCCCAGTCCTGATTCCCTGGATCTGCTGTTGCAGATCAGAGTACATGCTTTTTGTAGATCGAGGTGCATGCTTTTTGCTCATTCTTTTTTTTTTTTTTTTTAACAGAGGCATGTGCATGGTGCTTTTCAGTGTTTATTTTGCTTGTGAGACTTGGGCAAAAGCTGCATATATGTATCAAATCAAAAGACAGTTATTTTATTCATTTGCTGTGCGTTAGATTAGGAGTATATTTATCCTAGAGGACAGGCAAACAAGAAAGGATTGTTAGGAAACCGGGCCTCCTTCCTAATATGGGCTGTTTTACTTAGGATGAGAATATTTCTGTATTAATAAGGAGCAATGTTATGTTTTTCTAGGTATCAATGCTTTTGGCCTCAAGAAAACATTGTGCAATTTTTAAACAAAATGCAGCAGTAGTTGTGAGAGACTAATTCATGCTTTCTCTGTCTTCTGACACTAAAGTTAGGTGAAAGTATTTTGAGGTTATTGAGTAAAAAGATTCCCACTTCCAAATAACTATTCGTATTTTTAATCTGATCTTGATAAAAGGTCTTTGAAGAAGTCATTCAAGTAATCATTAGGCACTAAAAAATCTCACTGGCATTTATTTCAGAGGGTAGTCCTTTGATTGTCTTACTGATTTAAAAATATTTTCTATTTTTATTTTTTTTAATTAAATGAATGTAGTATATCATTTAGGTAGATTTTTTACCTAAAGCTTTGCAGGATAAATGTAAGGCACTTGCTAAAAACTAATTGTTCATGCATCAAGAGTTTATGCTTCAGAACTGTGGTGTACCTCCAGCATGTAAGAGCCTGCTTTGATGAGGTATAATGTAGTCTATCTCTTTAGTCTTCAAAGTTATATATTTTGTCCTTTGATGATCCTTTTTCTTCTGAATATGGCTTTTTCTGTTTTTACATCTAAAAAGTACAAGTCCAAGTCCAGGATAACGGCTGACATTACACACAGAGTGATTAACTGCCACTGCCACAAAGTAATAATGTGAGGAAAACAGGTTAATGCATACAAATTGTACAGTAGATAATGAAGTGTAAAACAAATTCATAGGAAAGGAGGTAGTATACAGATAATTTTAATTGAATATAAATTCCTCCTAAGTTTCATATCATCTGTTCTTGGAGTTCTTGTTCTTCAGTTTTTCAGAAAGTTTAGATATTTAGATATTGAGATTTTATTGAAGGAAGGAGACGGATCTTGGGCTTTGCTTTCTGATGGTATGATAAACACTGACAGGAACATACATTAAACTGTTTTTTTTTTTAATTTCCCATGAGTTGGGTTTTTATTTGCATAGTTTTGGCTTTGCAGTAGCTGAGTTGAGAGGACCCAAATGATATTAAGCTCCTTGTGAGTTAGATTGATTTTCGCACTTCAGTGGGTTTAGTTATCTCTTCCCAGCAGCTTCTAATGGAGGGATATTGCTGCTGAGTTTTATTTTGCCAGTTGCAGGGCAGCACTTTCCTTTAAGATGCTATTGTGAGTGTAAAAGAGAGAGCTGGTTTGCTGGGCCTCCCTCCTGTTCCTACACAGCTCTGTCTGACATTACCAACTCCAGCCAGCTGAAGCAGTAAGAGCTTCATTTTACCCCAAAATGGTGTTTCAATTGTGTTGGGGATTGTGGTGCTTTTTCCTGGGTAGTAAGTTATTTTTTATTGAAAAATTATTAGAATTACCTTATGTTGGGAAACCATATGGATTGGTTTCCATTTTGAGTGTTTGGCAAATAGCTAGTTTATGGAATAAATTCTACATGTGTCCAGAAAAGAAATCAAGAGACCTGTTATGAAAACACACTATGTGCTTACATTACACCCAAATTTTACAGCTGCATCTAAAGGAGGTTTGCTTTTTTGTAGTCTAAAATTTCTGATTACTTTCAGTGATGCACTGTTCATTCAAATGACAAAAGACAATGGAATGAAGTTTTAAAATTTATTTTAAACCTTTAGTTTAGTAGTACCTAAAGTAAGCTGGATTTTCAGATTGCCATTCTTCATTAAGTGTTTAGTGTACAAATACTGTGCTGTTGGATGCTCTATTTGTAGCAACATGCTTTGAGAAGCCACAATTGCTTTGGGCAGTATTCAGATGAACACACTACTGCATAATGGCAAGTACCTTTTATGACTAAAATTGATACAAAATGTACAGAAGACTATCAGTCCAATTTTGCTATTGCAGTTTATATTAGAAGCTTTTGTCAGACAGTGGGAAGCGGTCAATTTAGTTAAACTTGGTTTCTCACATGACATATTGTTAGGATTTTTTTACAGTTCTGTCAAAGGGAGTTTACTGTCTAGCTTGGCCACACAGGGGCATAAGATAACTAATATATTGAGCCTAAAACCAGTACAAAGATTGTTCACCAAATTCTGTGTACAACAGGGGCTTAAGAATGGTTTCATTTTGAAATCAGATGCAGGTAGTTTAAAAAAAATAAAAAATTCTTTCATTAATTAAACTCCAGTGTATTTGAAGACTCCTAAGAGTTTTCACTTTTAAAATCCCTTGGTAAGCATCTTTTACATAAATACACTGATTTTTAGAAAATCACTGGAATGCCAAAATATATTAGTTTGTTGCAAAATTAGACATTTACACTGAAAGTATCATTTTAGCAGAAACATATGATTTATTTTCATTGTTTGATTTTCTGTTTTGTGTCCTCAATATATCTAGTAGCTATTTACCAAAGCTCCATTTTATAATGAAGCCTTAAAATGATGTCAAGAATTACTTTCACAAACAACTGTTATTTTTTATGGTGTTAATAATCATTACTTTGACATTGAAAGAAAAAGATAATATTTTCTTCCTTGTTGGGAAAAAAAATTGTCAAAATATTTCTGTAGAAGAGATTTGAGGTTTTTTTCCTTGACTATATTGGTTCAACATAGCAAGAGGTTTGCTAATATTCTAAGAGAAAGTTGCATTTTCAGATATGACTAGTCTAATAGCCAAGAAGAAAACCACCATAATGGGTTAGAACTGACAGTATATTGTTCAAGTTCTGTGATGCAATACTGCTGAATACTGTAAAAACTGCCTTTCCTCCCTTTTCTAAACATCTCTATAGCTACCTTTAAAATTTAGTTTGTTGGGATTTTCACATCTCTTCCTTTTTACCTCCATCCTAGATTCATAGAACCCTGTTTCAAGTATATTCCTCGAATTTGTAGCTGATGTGCTTTCTGAAGTAAAAAATACAGTGTTGGTAAATACATTTATTTGTATTCCTACCATGAAATTTTTCCTTAATGTATTAAAGACATAGCAAAGCTGTTTCTTCCCCTTGTTCTTAACTGTGTTTTGCCTCAGACAGAATCAGAATTCCAAAACAAAGCTAATTCTAGTCCTAGATCTCTGTATTACTGAGACCTCTGTAGGAAGGTTGTCCATGTCAAATAATCCTCTATCTTTTCTCCCTAAAATTAGAGAAATAAGCCATATTCAGGTGAATCCCTATGTGCATATATGTCTATATATATGTGAACTTCTCTAAACACAGAGGGAAGACTGGCAGCTAGGACAGAAAGCTGTATATGAAAGGCAGAGAGAAACTCATACAGCATTTGATCTTT